TATCGAACGACTTTAGCATATAACTGCGATGTGTGGAAAACTTTTTTATTTCTCAAGATATCTTCACGAAATATTGTATTGATTATTGTCAAGTGGAACGCTAGCTATAGCGTATAGCTTGTGGATCAAAATGAAGTCTTTTTATACCAGATTATCCCACTATACCAGTAAATGCACGTGTGAGCGTTGGTGCAGCCGAAGCTAAGGTTTTTTCTTGCATTTTTAATTTTGATCCACTCTTTGTTAGTCCTTCAATGTATGCATTCAGTTTCCGTTAGCAAAATTAATTAATAGTGCTTGTTAAATGTTTTTGTTGTTATTGCAAACCAATTGCTTATAACTTGTCGTCTATTAATTCTGCTTGGCATAGAAATATTTTTTTTTTTTTTTTATTTTATAATAAATAGAAATATTTATATTTAACAATATTGGATAATATATGAAATGTCACTCATACGCCTCGTCGTACCATAAATTAATATCCATATGAATTCTTATTTCTCAAAGGTTAATCATACGCCTACTTACACCATGAGCGCTTTGATATAAGCACTTAAATAGTTTTTGATTTTATATTTATTAAATGTTACTCATACGCCTTGCCATACCAAAAAATCATTTCCCTATGAATTTTATTAGAGGTTACTCATACGCCTAGTTACACCATGAGAGTTTCTACTTATTTTTATATTTATGATTCTTTTTTAAAGGTTACTTATATGCCCAGTCATGCTATTCAAATTTTAATATAAGCACTTAAACAGTTGCTTTTTATTCTAATAAAAACTGTTTTAAAAAATATTTGTAAATTTTAAAATCAGCAATTAAAAACTTCGCGCTATTGTTGGTTTCACATTTTAATATTTCATTCGCTATTTCATGTAAACATGTTTTTCAAGCCTGCAAGCTATTATGAACTCACCACTTGACCGGCTCACACTCACGCTTTCCCGATTGAACCACAAAACCATCGCCAGCTGGCATTACAGAAATTACAAATTTCACTTGTTTGTTATTGTCATCCGCAATTGTCAAGCAATCGACCAAAAAACAAACAAGTGAATGCCACAACAACACAGCGCATGCAACAACCGCTATACGCTACACCCACCAAATTGGCACATATCAAGTGGCCAAATACAAAATGGCTTTGCTGAACAATGCGATCGTTCAAAACGTACACGAGGACACACACAACGCGTTTACGCGTATGTATGCATGTATGTGTGAGTGTGTGTTCTTATGGCATACATATGAACTGCAATTTAATTGAGTGTGCGACAACAGCTGCGCCGCCAACCCACCAACGCCTCGTATACAATCACGCCGCTACGCGAAGCTGCTTGTGTGGATGCTGTTGACGCCGCTCGGACGGCGCAAAAACACACACGCACACGCACAAGTGCACAAAAATGAAACTCTGCAAAACTAATTAAAATCGAAATGGAGCAACAAACAGCAGAACGTTGGGCGAGCAAGCGGTTGGCGTGCGCGTGAGGGGCGCAGAGGTTGGCTGAGGCTCGTAAAAGTAGTGGCACAGCAATAGCAGCTGACAGCAAACAACTATTGTGTCTGCTGAGTGCAGTTAAATGTTAACACACACATCTACAAGCTTTTTCGGAACTAAGCATTGGCCGCCGCTAGCAGTGCATGGCATGTACATGTGTTTGTGCGCGTATGTATAAGAGCATCATGTGTGCCAACATCGAAAGTGGAGCAATGCGAAGGCATTCAGCCAGCTGATGGACGTTTGCGCCAATTGTCGGCGACAACGAAATTCAAAATGACCGATTAAAATGGCACAAGACAACAAGTAATCAAAAACAACACATTTACAACAACAGCGTATGTGGCACATAAAAATAATAACACAATTTGTTCAGCTCATTGTCACTCGTAAATCAAGTGCTGCATTTATTAAACTCACAATAATTCGGTTGATCTTCGAGATAAATTAATGCATAGTATATGGAAAATACATATTTGCTAGTTGTATGTGTGTGGGTCGGTTTGTGGGATAATTTAGATTTTATAGTCGTAATGTAGTTTTTCATAGCATATACTTAGGCGCAGTAGAGCGCTTGCTTCGGTGTGCCGTTTGTTTACGTTTATTTATGTATATCTTATAAATTTTTTGTGTGTTTATGTTGTATATAATATTTTTGTAAGTACTATATGCACGGTTTGGGCTAATGGGTAGAATTTGATTTTTTTTATATTTTTTGTTTCATCTATAATTTAATTAAATTTTAT